TCTTTACCTTTGAAAATAAGAACAGGCTCGAGTCGAGAATTATCTTGATCAAACACCGTAAGAATCAATGTTGCAAAACGTTTATCACTAAGATTTCCTTCTATATCATTTGGTGTACCAATATCATTAATACTAAGTTTTCCTTGATCACCAAATAATTGAAGAAGACTTTCGTCTATATTACAAATATCACTTTGTGTGAAAGCTCCCATAGGATCTTGCCTAGGATCCCATTTGCTTGCACGTCGAATATAAGAATGAAATGAAGAAACAAGTTTATAAGCATCGATAAGAGGAATTTTTTGTTGTCTTTTTGGACATTGTAAAGATAATCTATGAAGTTTCATGAAACGATAATACCATTCACATGATGGTGGATTATGTTTTAATTCAAGACTTAATTTAGCACCTTGACGTTGAAGTTGTTTGAAGGAAACTTTTTCACGTCGAATATTATTGATAGAGGTGGGAGAATTTGGGTCAGTTTAGTTCGGTGTTCTTGATACCATGCTAATAATTTTGAATCCAGATTAATATATTTTAGCTTTTTATCTGCACCTCCTAATCTACATGTTTTTCTACCTAAAATTAACGAAAACAAATTCTTTATAGATTATAGATTTAGTCATCTTGTTGAAGTAAAGTAAAAAGTAGATATGATTCCAAGCAATCTAAGAGTATGCTCACTGTAAATGGTAAAATTTCAAATTCAAATAGAATTATGTTACATATATTTATATACGTAATCGAAAAAAGCTATTATTGGTTAAGTTTCATAAAAATTTCGCATGACGTAAAATTGTATTTGTAACTATAAATCAGATAACTTAGAAGAGTTTACCTTTTTTTCTTTCGAAATATCGATTAATTTTGTTTCATTATGCAACCATTTTCGTAATTGAGCAGTAGTACGGCCTGTATCGTAGCTGTTCGATGTTTACTCTCATTTAATTTAAAAGTAGCTATTGCATCAAGTTTTTCTGCTACTGATCATTGTCGACGTTTACGTTTTGATGTTTCTTTGATTCCATTATTACTTGATGCAATAGTATTAGTTGCCAACAATGACGGATGAGATGATAAAGATGTAGAAGATATATTTAATGCATGATATTCAAGTTCATCATCATCATTTGATGCATCTGAATTAAATTGTGAATATGTATCATCACGCGCAGCACAATTCTCATTAGTATCATCGAATAAAGAATGTTTATTATTAAGATCAAGTGTTGGACAACGATTAACAACATGAAGTGTAGAATAACCTTTATTAATATCATCAAATAAAGAACGATTATTATCAACGTTAAGTACAGAACTATAGTGATCATCACCATTAATTTCTAATTCATCGTCAGAACTACTATATTCAATGCTAAATATGTAGTCGTATCAATAATTTGATTTTCTTGTTCATCAACATTTGACACTACTTCAATTGAATCATTTTCTGATTTATTTGAAGAATTCTCAAAATCATTATAATCATCCAATGGTAATAAATGTATGTTATCATCATTAGTCGACATGTTATTATGAGTTCATTGACGTGAAAAGCGTATTCTTTATGTCGTCACATTCTTGTCTAGTCGAGAGCAAAAGAGAATTTTTTTCTTATCTCTCATAAATGCAATTGCTCTGCTTTGTTTCTTTGTTTTACATCCTCTTATGCCCAGGTCGAAAAGTACCGGCCGGTTCCGGCAGGAAAACACCGGAAATCAACGGAACATGGAAGCAGTATTCCGGCCGGAAATTTTTCGGATTTTTTTCCGGTGAATTCCAGCCAATTCCTGTTCTTTCCGGCAGGAACCGGCCGGAAATCCGCCGGAAAAAGTCTGAAAAAATTCCGGCCGGAATACTGCTTTCATGTTCCGTTGATTTCCGGTGTTTTCCTGCAGGAACCGGCGATTTTTCCGCGTCTTTCCTGCCGGTTCCTGCAGTATTCGGTGACCGGAACGATCGACCTGGGTGTTAAAAACATTATGAATCTATCGTTGAAGTTCAATATATTGTACTCTTTGGGCTCTCACTGTACTCTCGGAGTACACGGAGTCCATGAAGTTCGTGAAGTTCAGGAGTACGAGAGTACGCCGTCCCCCCTCGACTATGATACATCCATACTCTATTCCCTCGTGCTTTGAATAACTGTCACTCATCAGACTGTCATTGTTTATAAGTGCAAGAAGAAAACGACTTTGTTCGGTACACTCTTTGATTTGTGTCTACATCTGTCGTCTTATTGGATTTAGTTCAGTGCGAAGTTGTCCATGAGTTTGTCACACTGTTGAACTTGATCTTGTAGTTTAGCATGAAGCTCGTCGATAATTGGACGAAATTGTTGAAATGGATATGTTCGAACCGATTCGATCCTTCCATTATGTCTTCTTATCCACATAATTTTAATGTTAGTTGCCAAACATGAAACTGTCCTCTTTGAACATTGTTCACAACGATGAAGAATATTATCTCGTTGAATATTCTGTTCATTTCATAGGGAACATTGGTCGAGAAAAAGATCTAGTTGATTGCGTTCGATTTGAGTGACAACCACTAAGAGTTCTTGTATCGACACTCAATCGTAGCGATTCGGACAGGTATTTTGTTTATTCAATCATTCGATAATACACTGACAACAAAATGTGTCGCACTATGTTTTGAGAAAGTAACTGGTAATTGAAATGATTGTTCACATATAGTGCATTAGAATTTCTCGTCAATAGTATTTTTGTTTACGTACTCTAAATAAGTTGACATCAATAAAAGCAGTGACAACTCGATATGCTTGATTTTTTTACTATTGCCATAAGTAGCTTGAGGGTCTACTTACGTGTTTTGGTTTTATTGCTCTTTTTTTTCTCTTAAAACAAAGATATACATTCAAGATAAGATATTTTTCTGCCAAACTAACAGGTGTCATCGTTCTTGATTTCATTGTTTCTTTCAACTGAAGGACAACATAATATGAGATTCCGTGTGCAGAATATGACTGTTAGTTTGAGATGATGTGAGACAGTCGACGTAGGATTTTTCTCCGTTCAAACCTACACCATTGAAGCTCGAATTAATCATCTTAGGGCCAATAACGGAGTTCCTAGTTTTCTATCAGTAAAGTCAGTTGGTTTTCGAAAATTTGTTGGCATATCTGTAACATATTACTATCAGTTCCAAAATATAGCATCAACAATTGGGAGGTGCATAGCTAAAAAAAAAGCCGACGCAGCGATCATAATCAGATTTTCGTCACCAAAGCGTCGAGACCAGTACACATGATCATATGTTGGGTTTCTAGGTGAGTCTTTAGGAAGCCACAACGACTTTTAATGACACAGTATTGATTTGATTAAATCATGTCTTGATTAATATAGACACATTAAAACTCCACTCTTTACTGTTCAAATAAATATTTCTTCCGCCAGAAAAATTTGACTTATTTTCGAACCCTCTGTGAACAAATAAAATCTTTTAACGAATATTCGATCTTCATATTTCAATGAATGTTTTCTGACTTTTTGTTCTCGATATCATCGCATTACAAAATAATAACTTTCGATGCGTGTATATAGAAACATTAAATAGTAATGAAAACTTGCAATAATTCGCCTGAATGATGTCCTGCCTAGCGCATTAAAAGTCTATAAGTGCCATTGTTATAACCAAAGAGATTTTATCAATAGGCTTCTCAAGTTGTCATTTACTACGATTATTAGTAGAAACATGTTAAATCTATCATCTATGATTGTAGATATAAACGCGAACATTTTAATTGACCTCATCATCTTTCTCTAAGCTGTCTTATGTTCATATATATGTAAAAAAAAAAAAAAAGAAATTATTGAGTTAGATTTTTATAGTAAAAAACTCGTGCAAATGATTGACCTGTTATTCCTTCGAATAACTAAAATCAATATTTTAATAGAGAACTTTGATTAATAATGAAAATGATAATCTATCGAAAACTCTCGATTATAAGACCTAAGTATCAGCTCCGATAAAAGAAAATGTCTCGACTTTTTGTCTTCTTACAACTAATCAATATGATAAAATGATTGATCGAAAGATTTCAAGTTTAGTTTTAAAAAGAAAAATTTTTGTCATCTATTGTTTGAGATAAGGTGATTACAAACTAATTTACGTTTTTATTCATTTATTGTATTATAAAAATCACTCTGTATACACAAATTCTGTCCCGTCAACACGTGTAAAGTATATAGTGTGCTTTATGATGCAGTACGTATCACTTATGGCACGTTCATTGACTTTTTGTCATCGTCTAACATTCACATTTCATTCATGACAATATCATTAGTTTGAGATTGATGAAGAAAAGACTCGATGGACATGTCAATAATCATCATCATATATACACATTTATATGATCAATTGAGTTTTTGTCTTATCACTGTTTATTTATCGCTACATAAATATACATATTGAGTCTATGCTAAGTAGTCAAATGTATATAATTCAGTTAGCAAGTAAAGATATTTCGTTGAGTCGATAAATACATATATTTATATACACATGTTAAGAGAAGACAAGTATCTGTACTTATATACGTTTCTCAAGAAGGTTAACCGTCTATCGTACTTGTTCAATAACTATATTAATTTTTTTTTTCGTCTCATTGATTGTCTTGTAAATCTGAAATATAGTACTATTTATGATAGAATGACAGTCAAGCAAACATGTATATCTATGCATAATAAAAAAGAACATGAGATTATTGAGTTGATCCAATTGTTAAATAGAATAATTAAATACATTGATTACTTCCAATGAGTTCATTGTACATAATCTATATAGAGATCACTCTTTTTTTTATTTGATCTTGTGTTTTATTACTAGATCTTGAAATGAATGGCATGATCATAACTATATGTTCATAACATTTTTGATCTCTCTGATTTCATACACTGTTTTTCTTGCTATTTTACTATAAAATACGATTTATGTTTTCTTTTATTTAAGATATCTTATACTAATAATTTAAATACCATATGCCACGTTTGTTTATTAACCATGAAACTAAAACTAATACAAATGATGGTTTGTCATCAGTTATTGATACATATGCTGATGCAATCTTACGTACATTTGCTTCTCTTAAACCACCGCCATCAATAACATCAATTACTTCTCGAAAATATCATCATAATCATTCTCATTCTCCTCTATCAACAGTAAGTTTCTCATTATTATGTCATACATGACATTGAATATCTTTCTATGTATTCATATATGTTGTTTTTTTTTGTTTGGTATCATTTTATTACTAAAAGATAAATAATTATGATTTTAATTATGTTACATCAAACGAAAAATTCTAAAATTCAATTAGAAAAAGAAATCATTGAAACTATTGTATTTTAATGAGATAAGCTTAGCGAAAAGAAAAACAAAATACAATGACCGTCACTGTCACTCCGAAAGTTTAACTAATCTTTAGATAATTTGATAGAAATGGACAACAATCACCACCATCACTACTAACAACAGCAACACTAGTAGAATAGTATGATCTATTGAGCAACGATAATCCAAGTCCAATATTGACTTATGATGAAATGACAACAAATAGTCGAACGAATAATTCAACTATTTCTCCTACAGTATTCTAAATAATGTAGAATACCTTGTGGGTATTAAAAAAAAGCGAACACGAGAGAAGGAACAAAACTTAACTCGTTTGTCACATTCGATTCAATGAATAATTGTAGACATAATGCTTGTTTTATAACGATTCGATATAGTCTTTGAAGGACGTAGATACTAAGTTTATACTTGTATTATACGTACATTTACTTTTTCGTCTTCTCTTTTTTCTGACGCATAAATGAGAAGCAGTTCAAATCCAATAAATCAATTTAGCTGCTTCTCATATTCACTGTTCATATCAACGTTTTTTTTAATTATATTCAAAATTCAAGAGAAGGCAATCGACAGGTAAATAATGCTTCATTATTATTTAATTTGGTTAGTCTATGAAATGTCACGTAAAATAAGGCAAGTACAAACGCTTTTTTTTTCTTCTTAATCATCATATATATCTATATGAACATAATACAAAAGGAATAGACTAAAATAAAAAAAAAGGAATTTTCAAGTATGTAATGTTCGTGCTGTCCTATGTCGGTAAAAATATCAACGGCAATATATTATAACGTTATTTGAAATTGTAAAAAGCATAGTAGCAGGTGAAAAAAAAAACATATATACACATACTATATAAATAGTCAGATTTGATAAGAAAATGTTATTTGTTTTGACATTTTACTTGAATACAATCGAGTAAAATGAACAAGTTCATCTCACTAAGAATTCAATCAATTTTTAGTTATTAGAAGAAAAATATATTATATAGTATATATATTTTTTTTTGTCTCTAATTGGATTTTCTTTCTGATATATATCATTCAAAAAAAAAAGACTGAAAGAAGATACGATTGCGTTTCGAAAGTATTAACAAAATCCAATAAGAGCAAAGAAAAGACTTAATCAGTAAATATTGTACAATATATAGTACTCAATTTTGTTGTCACAATGTCTGAAATTCTTTCGTTTTTCTTTTCATTTATATTATGATTAAGTACCTGACAAAAATAACAACACGTATTGCCTATAAAATACTTGTGACAAGGTTTTTGATTGATATGAAAAAAGAAAATGATGAAAAAGAAAAAAAAGAAACAGTAGTAAAAAAAAAAAAGGAAATCTTATATGATGACCATAAAATGAAGATTTAGTCTCTTATAACACTAGAAGATTGATATATAAAGGGAAAATATTTATATACATCCTTCTTCATTTCATTCATTCTGTCACTTACTTCTACGATTTCATGTTTCCTGATATATATAGTGAAGGTCATAGAAAATAAAAGACAGACAATATTTATGTTTTTGCGCGACTTGTTGAAAGAGAATGCATATATATATATACTGTTGATTGCCTTATCTACTCATGTTCACTTTGTCTGACATACCTCGATATGAGCTAATGTGTATTCTTTGTTTGCATGTGCCTTAAAGTTCTCTCTTTCCTTCCCCATTTCTACATAGGTTGGTCTCATCTTTTTTTTTATGTATGTGTATATAGTCAAGGCGATTATGTATGCAACTGATTAAACCGATTGAATATAGTAAGAATTTTGTTAATTAACATGAATTTTGAAATATTTCTTTCTTATATCAAGGTAAGTAAGCTACTACAAAATAAATCCCTTCATTTTCTTTCTTTTGTGCTTTCATTGAAACTTGCCTTAAAGCTAATTGCTACTTTTTTGTATTAGCAATGTTGTCAAAACATAAACTGTTCATCATAGATATATAAATATATATATATACACGTATACACATAATTCAATGAAGCAAAGAAAAGTAAATAGGCGATGCTTGAAAGTTTCTTTTTTCTTCTTCAAGAGTTGACTGTATACATAAGATATTCATTCATACCTTAAACGGTAGTCATTGAAGTATAATACCGTAAAGGCAAATAGTTTTCTTATTACACTTATTTTAACGTGAATAAAAAGAAAACGTTCAATTTTAACGAATTACAATTTTCTTTTCCTCTCCGTCTTTCTCTTTTCTTACTCACATAGATCAGTAAACTTTTTGTTCTTTACTCATATTTAAAACCGATGAATATATACTCCCCCCAAAAAAGAATCGAATAAAAGCAAATGCACATTGCCTTCTTTTTTCTTTTTGTGTTTTAAATTGATGATTTAGAATAAACAAGATAATTAATATTATATTTACTTTTTTTTAATATCTAGGTGATAAACGATTGTTTGGATAATCAATTAATATTAAGTGAAACATCATCATTATCATCTTTTTCATCATCAATTAATCAAAATCACTTTACACTCGAAACAAAATTACCATTAGTTATAACAAAAAGTGAATCATTAAAAAGATTTAAACGATTTATTTCACATTTAGATAAAATTTATCATAAAAAAAAAATGTCAACTAAAACTCTACTTCCATCATCATCATCATCACATATAACAGATCGTTATTTTTTTCGTTCATATTCACATAATACAAAAAAAACAAGATTATCATCAAAAAATAAATTCGATGATACCACATCACCATTATTAAGAAAACGTTATAAATTTTCTTCAACAAATACTGAACCATATAATCATAATAATATTTATAAATTTCCAACAAATAAATATGAAAAACGTTCACATTCAATAGATTCTGATCGATATTATTTTCCATTAGATAATTCAATTAAAAATTCACAACAAACATTAACATATATACCAAAATCTAATAATTTTGAGCAACATTCAATGACATTCATGGATGGTCGTACATCAACATGTATTTCTGATACACCGTATCTATTTTCAAAAACAACAGAAACACAACAATATCCAAGTACAACATCAACATATATTCATTCACAAGGTAAAGTAACTAAGTAGATTAACAAAATTCAGTTGTTTTTTTTTATTCCATAGATAAATCAACATATCAAAAAATATTAGATGGTGTTTCAGATTCATCATTACATACTTCAATAATAAATCCTAACATTCGACAAACAAAACGATTGGATACTGTAACATCAACAAATGGTTCATTATCAAAAATAAAACGATCACGAATAGACAAAATTCCAATTGTACATTTTGAAACACCAACATCAAATTCATCTTTAAATGAACCACGTGAATTTTTATGTTGTAAACAATATGATCAATCAACAGAATCATTTGACAAATCAGTCGATCGTCTTGTTTCATCAGTAAATAAAAAATATGGACAACAACAACAACAACAACAACAGCAACAAATGATTTCATCGCCATCAAATTCTTCAACATTAAATTATATTAGTCAATATTATATAAAAGATGATCAAACATTAATTGATTATCCATTTGATATTGATGATGAACAAAAAAAAAATTATTATAATTTAAATACTAATCGTACACATACACAAATAATGAAAAATTTAAATAAAAGTTTAATTGATCATGATTATCAAATCGATAAAAATCGTTTAAAATCTTTTCAACAAAATGTTCGTCGTTGTTTACGTTCATATGAAAATCAATCATTACAACGTGAATTAAATTATGATTTATTACGTTGTTTTTCATCATCTTATTTAGATGATTTAAAACGTGAAAATATTCGTTATAATCATATACGTAATAATATACATTCATATACATATGAAGATATTCAAGATATTCATGTACCATCAATGTTAGAAGTTTATAAAATGAAAATAAATATTGATCGAGAAAAAATTCATCGTTTACAATTATCAATTACAACTGAACCATTATCATCCGTATCATCATCAGATTTTAGTCCAGTTATGATTGGAAGTTTTAATGACAATCTAGAAACACAATCAACTGGTTTTGAAACTGATCGAAAATCATATACATCGGTACGAAGAGATTTTGAAATTGAAACTACTCTTTCTTTAACATTTTAATGCATTGTATTGCTTTTTAATTAACGCAAGTAATTAGAGACTTTCGGATTTCACTATCCGAACGAGCAAAGCAGAGGGGAGCTATAAATCCATACTAAAGCTAATTTGTTAAATAAAGTACATATTATTTTTTTACGATAAGTTTCTCTATAATTATTAGAATACACTGTAAAATATCAACAACATGTAATTTCTTTTTTTGTGAAACTCACGTATATTTCGGGGAAAATAGTGAGTTGCGGGCCTCTCTTATCGAGACCCTAGTAACCATGAGTTGGAGGAGGTAAGCCAATGATCATTGGGTATACTTTGTTAGCAACGGAAAAAAGCGCGCCAGTAATAACAATACTTTGATCATTCTAGAATCTTCTTAAATATTCCATGAATCTAAAATGTCTACTGTAGATTCTTACAAGTCTGAATATTGCGCGGTTGGGTATTGAATACAGAGAAAGGATCGTATTGTAGATGTCAGTCATTAGAGTGGTGATATTATTAATCGAGCATAGTCAGAAGAGGACGAACATAAAAATGGGTGAATTAGTTAAATTATAAGTCTACACAAAACTTCACAGTATAATTATGTCAAAGTTTGTTGAGAGGAATGGTAGTGTGTTCGAAAGTTTATTGAATTGTTCAATCAAAGAGGTTAAAATATCAAGAATAAGAATGCTTTCGTATAATTTTCAGTGAAATTTGAAAATGCAGTTACATAGTACTTTTATGAACTAATATATCAATTTTGTGAGACATAATCAAAAAGGAGTAATGAAGTATAGGGATAAAAACTTCGACCCATCCATCTCCCTGCAAATCGTTATGGTCATGATCAGGCATTGCATATCAATAACGTCTCATTAGAATATATGAACTACTTCCTTGTTGGATTTTTGAAGAATTAAGTAAAAGAAGATGGCGTGAACATATGTACGGGTGACTAAAAAAAGAATGAAATACTTTTATTTTATTTTTTTATGAAGACTTAGAACACAGTTGGAAAAGTCTATTCTATAGAAAAGTTTCTCTCTCTACAAAACTGTCGAATTTATTTTTTTAAATAAGCTTTTCTTAGCCTGTACCTATATGGTGTCATTCAGGAACAAAAGTCTTGGAACTGTCACTCAGCGGTATTTATTTTTGCTCTACTTACGCAGGTTTTTGTTTTCAAAAATCGGATGAGTTTATGAGAGGTTCGTTATTACACCATTGAGTGCAGTACTAAATCCTGAATAAAATGATTTAATATTTAAGCTGAACAATGAAAATCTTTCTAGTGTTTTCAATGAAGAATGGATCTTTCAAAAAAGTATTCTTGTGGTTTTTTCTCGAGTTTTTATTCCAAATATTCTTTCTAAAATCTTGAAACCTTGAGTAATGTAGCATGTATGATATATCCTGCAGCATATGTCAAATTTCAGGGCAAGACTGATTTCGAGAAAAAGAAACTCTTTTTTTTATTATTTTTCAGCCTTTTGGTGGTCACAGTCGAGTAGCTGTAAGTCTTGTCAGTTTCTCGATCACAAGAAAAACCGATTGAAAAAATCAACTTGATACTTTTGTAAACCGAAAAACTCATGTTATTTGTAAAGGAATTGAAGAATCTTATTTTCAATTGTGTTTTTGTAAAGTTCTAAACGCTTCGTGGAAAAAGAACCTGTAGTTTATAAAAATGTAATTATTGCTATGGTGATAATGCTACAGTGGACACAACTCTCGTGTTTGATTAAGACGATATTTTAATTTTTTTCTCTTTATTGAAAACTTTGATTTGATTGTGTAAAATGTCCATTTTTTGTACTAAAAAGATCAATAGATAGTGTTAGTTGAATTGGTTTCGAGTCCAACTATTTTGTAACTGATGAGTTTTATCCATAAGTCATCAGATTCAGGAAAATTTTTGTAAAAAAGTTCTAAAGATCATTCCAACATTGAAAAGTAGATAATCAAAGCCAAAAATTAGATTATTGTAAACTAATATTTTAAATAAATTGAAAATTAATTCATAGTCAAATTTTGAGATTTTCTTTTTTGAAAGCTTTCATACACTTGTTTTTTTTTAACAAAATGAATTATGGAAAATTTTTTTTGTTTCTTGTTTTATATAGATTTCTCAGCCAGTAACAAATATTCGTGCAAATGTTGATATATTTTATGAAATAATGCAAGAAAGTTTTCTTGGTATTGATGCATCAATTGCTGGTCATGTATCAAAAGCAACACAATTTAAAAAAGAAAAATCTCATCAATATCATAGAAAACCTCGTAATACGGATAGTGATATTGATATTCTAACATATTCATCCATATGGTCTGATGATGATGATGAACTCGATGAAAATCAATATCATCTAGAAAAAACTAATCAAAAACAAATAAATAGAAATCAACGAAAAATTTCACGTTATCTATCAACAGTTAATCGTTCATTACTTGATCGTCCAAGTGATTTAATAGCTGATTTTTATCTTTCACAATTAAATCGTAATATGCAAGATAGTGTTCGACATATTGAAATAATTGCACGTGATAAAGCTCATAAACATGAATTTATTTATGATCATAAAAATAAATTAGAACGAAGTTTATCAGCTGAACATTTATATCAAGTACGTAAAGAACATATACGTTATAAGCAATCATTTAAAACACCAACATCATTTACAACTGAAGATGTTACAGATATTTATAAACCATTTGTATTAGAAAATTATAAAAGAAAAATTGCTATTGAACTTGAACGTCGTCGACGTGTACGACAAGAACAATTTCATTTCGATTTATCTTATCCATCTATATCTAATACGGATATTGATTTAACTAATAATTTAATTAAATATTCTCATCCACCAATTATTAATATTGATCAAAAAAATCAATGTCATCATCATGATTTTCTTACGGTATCACCATCAAATATTGTACAAACAAAAGAAATTATTATGGGTCGTGCACGTCGATTATTAATTGATGATGGTACTGATGAAATTATTCAACATGTTGGTGTTATTTCACCACCACCAATCTATTCCATTTTTATACCATCATCATCATCAGCAGCAGCACAAAGAAATCTAGCATTAACAACAATGATTAATAATCAACATGAAATTCCACATATAACAACTATTGATCCACCAGATTTTATTGATCGAAAACAATTTCATATTCGACAAGAAGAAGATACTAACGATGGAATTCTTGATAATGTATTAAGTATACCACAACAGGTATTGAAATCTAAGAAAAACTATACATGCAGATTTTTAATTTTAATATTATTATCGATATATACATTATATTAGTTCTTTTAGTTCACATAGAATTAATCCTAACTAATTAAAATGTAATTAACAAATAAGTCTTGTGATTGGCCGATAACGCTAGTTTTTCAATAATAACATGGGGAAACATAGATTTAATGGCTGAGTTGTATTTAATATATAAAAGTTAGGTAAAACAAAGGTCAGAATTGAAAAATAGACAGTTTTTATTTAGCAAGATCACATCATTAATACATAAAATTACCCATAAGATTATTTTAATGCTTCTGAGGAAAAGAACATGTTCAACTGATAAATCACTTTCTTACTAAAAATCATTGAAGTATAAGCTATTGAATATTTTGATTCCAAATATGAGCAAGAGAAAATCTTCTTACACTCTCATATGCTGATTTTATAGAAAATTGCTGTTTCCAACTAGTAAAATTGTTTCCGTTGTGCTTAGATTATAGATTTGAAACAGAAAAGTTGTTTTATCCTAATTCTAAATGCTTTATTACCTGGATCGATCAAAAAACAAAAATTTGATGAGCCTAGAAAATCTGTTTTCTAAAAGATCAGCATGGTAGTTCACCAATGAAATCTCTTTAATGAAAATGATAGACATTCATAATTAGCATTATCATTTACAAATACTCCTATATATATCCTTTAAGTAAACGAAAAAAAAAGCAAAGTTATTCTTAATTCGATCATATGATTATTATTCCTATTGTTTAATTCTTCAGGGGATTATATCACATTATCCACATCGTCCGAAAACAAAACTTTATACATATATTACTCATTCGAAAGCAAATCATATCAGTCATGCTAAACAAATTGAATCAGACTCTATTAATAAAAAAATATCTACAATTACTATAAAACCTATAATAACGTTAAATCGACATGAAGTAAATCAATTTAATGAATTTTTACAACAAACTCAACATCTTCAAATTCCACAAAATAATTATCAAAATGCTATGCTTATTTCAACTACACCACCACTTTCATTAGCTGTTCAATCAAATAATGAACAAATTACACAATATATTGAACCAAAACAAAAATTTGAACATAGTACATTAACAATTCTTAAAAATGAACATTTTGCTGTTATACAAGGAGAAATTCCCATATTTGAAAATGTTCAAACAGCTAATCTATCACTAACATCAAATACTTTTGTCAATAATATATTATCTGATAATGATGATATTTCTTTACATATTTGTCAAAGAAATAAACAACCAATAATATTAAATTCATCACATATAAATACATTAGAATCATATGATGAACAAGATGGTAGAAGACATAAAACATTATTGAATGAAGAAACTAGAGTAATTTTTGTTGAATACATCGGAAAAAAAATTCAAAATATTTAACTTTCTTTTTTTTTTTCTTTTTATAAAAGGATATTGATGAACAATTGCCTGAATATGAAAGAGTAACAATTACAAATGAAATAGCATATGTTGATCCATTGTTACAACCATTAAATATTCAAATATTCGATGAGTGTGTTCCAGTAAGTACAAAAATAATAAAACAATCATTATTTTATATGCATATTGCAGCTTATTTTCTTGTTTTCAATTTTATTTTTTTCTAACATAGTTGTACGCTTTTTTATTTTAATCTAACAATCATTTTGTACATATGCTTTGTATATATACATATATGTTACAAGGAAACTTTAAATCTAGTTACCCTATCAGTAATAAATCAATCATTTTACTACTATAAAAATTATTGTATTGTCTTTGAAAATAACAGAGAGTATCGATCAGAGTGTTCTCTATTCACTGATAAATTTACATCGTATGTTATTTTGAAAGATAACAGCATAATTTTTATGGCAATAAAATGATTGTGTATAAAAATAATAATGATGAATTTATTGTTGTTAGATACAAGTTCAAATTTTCTCCTATAGAAGAAATTTTGAAAGTTTTAATTTCTTCTTACGAGATATTTGAAATTGTTCTAGACTTTTAATGTACCTTGTAACATATATATATATATATTTACTTCTAGCTTGCTTCACTTCTTGAAGAATCGAATACTACTACTATACATAAACAATATGCTAAACAAATAATTGATGACAATCATAATTGGAAAACTTATGAAAAAGTCAAAGAAAATATTCGTATACCAATCATTATCGATGATCAAGAATGGATTGATGAAAATATTGAAATAATTTCTAATGAATTTCAATCAAATATAGAAAATGCTCAACATAAATATACAGAAAATATTAAATATGAACAAATAAAAATAAATCTACCACAACAATATACTACAAAATCTATTATAAATGATCACAAATCTAATGAATTATTTGAAAAGTCATTTGAACAACAACAGCAACAACAAGTTTTTGATTATGATGAACAAGCTCTATCTTTATTAGATGATTCTTATCTAATTCGATATCAACAACAAGCAAATATTCATATTGATGAACGTCCAAATTTAGAAAATCCTATTCATTCTCAAACTATATTAACATTAAACTATCCTTATTATAATTATAAACATTCATATAAAAATTTTCAACAACAAGAAAAAAAAATCATAACACATAATGAAACTGAATTAATAAAACTTTCATCAGATCATATTGAAGAATTTTCAATTGATTCTCAAATATCATCATTTATTGATATGGAAATATTTTTAAATCATTTTGAAGAATGTCTTGATCATGAACAACATCTACCATTAATTGATCAAATATCTATTTCTTATGCAACAACAAATATAAAAAGATGTGAACAAACAAATCGTACATTACCAATTGAATGGTTTAAATCTACTACTATTCAATCACAAGATGAACAACTTGTTGAACAATGGACTGTTGAAAAAGATATCGATACTATTCAACATGAGGGTACTTTACGTCGACAACCAATTGAATTGATAACTAATACCGAATGTGTTAATTTTCTTCCTACGAACAATAGTTTTCTTATGAAAGAAAAAACTGACGATGAAAATTCAAATAATTCAACTTCAATAAATATACAAGAAAATAATTGTATAACAGATATTCTTACACATTGTTCTCCTACAAGTGACTATGAAACAGATTCCGTCGACAAAGATAACGATATCATTACTTCAACTGTTAACAATGCTGTTATCATTCCTGTAACATCTAGAATAAATATTTTACTCTCATCATCTATCACAAACACAACACTATCATCATCACCATTTCCATCGTCTACAACACCAATCGTACCTGTTATATATTTTCTTGATGTATTAGCAACAGAAGATAATAAAATAAATAATCCAACAAAAAATTTTTTATTAACAATTGGTTTTGGTCAAAATGAAAATAATAATAAAATAATGAATGAAACAACAACAATAACAACAACAACAACAACAACAATAAATAATACTCATCAACTACAAAGACCAACATGGATTAATCAATCATCAGAATATGTTGAAATTTTACCAACAATAATACATCATGAAAAAGAATCAAATAATTCTTTAATACAAGAACAACTATATTTTGCTACAATAAATCAAATTGAAGATGATGAGACAGCACTTTTAATTTATTCACATCGTTTACAACATGGACATGATTTTGGTGAAAATATACAAGAACCATTAAATTCATTTTTTGAAACATCATATATGCATTTACCAATAATCAATGAAATTCATATGTTAGAAACAAGTTTTCATACTGAATTTCCACTTTTTCATCCACCTGATAGTTTACCACATATACTTTCAGTTAAAATACAAGATGATGAAATAATTTTACCAAATGAATATGAAATAAAACAACAAGAATTATTATGTTATGGTCAAATACATGATCTATCTGATGATGAAGAAGATATTCAATTAATATCATTAAAATATGATCAATCAACATCTTTAGAACATTATCATATTCAACCATTATATTCATTTTCTGAAATATGTTATGCTGAAATAATTCAACCAAATTATATTATAAAAAATAATGATAATGATGATTTATTATCAACTATCCTAACAAGAAAATATGAGGTAAAAAAAACAAGAAAGAAAGAAAGATATCAAATATGCATGTAAATCTATACAATCAATCAAGATTTGATATATGTATATACATAAAAGTATTATTTGTTTAGTTATAAAATAAAATCATACTTTTTAAAACTTCTTACATCATATAATGCTTCTTACTTTGATTATTACTAATCTCAATGCACTAATGCTTATAGTAATTGTACATTGTTAATCTTTAGAGTATTTGAAAACAAAAAATAGCTTTGTTATACATTATATATCTTATCAATCATATGAAGAACTGTGATTTTTTTTTTTTTGAAAAAAAATATTTCTAGTATTTTTTTTTTTGGTTTTCATACTTGAGATTCAATACACATGTTCAACTTCAATTCTAGACATGTTATGACATTTGAAGTTAATTAATTTCGAGAAAAAGAGAAATAATCAATTATATCTATTGTAAAAGAAAGTATATCTTTTCGATCCTTTTTTTTCTCTTTTATTCATACAAACACAAAGAGAAGATATAATGAACTCTAATAAATGCCAACATCATTATATCTTCGAACTGATTGACAGGAGCATACTGTTTAATATATTATCGAGACACAATCATCTATCCATCTTTTTTTTTTTTTCGTGTTCATTCATCTTTTCGAAAAGATCATTCAACGAAAGGCTTGTGTATATGAACGATAATGATCTTTTTACTATATACAATCTATTAAACGGTCGAATGACCTTGTTAGAATAGTGATGTGCATTTATATATACATATACATATAGATGAAAGCAAATGATTGTTACAAATTGAGAAGGTCATTTATAGGAAGGCATAGTTACATATTAAAGTATAGTAAAAAAAACCGAATAATTTAAATAAATGTATTTATTTTCTATTATTTAGAATGAATATGAATTAAATCAATATGATCAAACTGATTTAATGCTACAAAAAGCTATAAATAATCAAATAGACCATGAAAATTGGAAATTAGAAATCCCAACATCAACAAAATCCTTTAAAAGTAAGAGAAAAAAAAACAAGTTATTTTTTTGTATATTTCAAATAAGAAATGACTGAAGCCCTTGATAGACACTTGTATTGATGAAATATTTTAATCATGCTTTTACTCAAAGAGTCGAAAAAAATAAAGAAAAATATTTGTTAATCATCTTTACCTTGAAAAAAAAAACAACTTGAATGTCTTTGATTTTTCTTTCTTTTCTTTTTTTAAATATGTTACTAATATTTTTCTGTGTTCGATATTCATTATTATTTATATTGGATACAGTTCATCTAAGCTTCTAGTATTATTGTTAAGATTAGTCATTATATATCCATATGTATATAGGTGTATCCTTTCATTGACAATTCTTTCGTTGTATGAGATAAGAATATTTTTGATGATGTTATTTTTATACTTGATTACATATTGAAAAAATATATGCTATAAAAATAATCCTTAAGTATGTGGTTTTTCGTCAATTTATAATGTGACATCGATTAAAAAGCTAGTATTAAGTTTCACAGCTTGTATTTAAAAAAAAATAAAGGATTACATGATATCATTTAAATACGATCCTATTTCATGTTAGAAGTTGAGAACATAACAACAGCAGCAGTAACGAATAAACTAATGAAATAAAGAAAAATGTCAAGAGATTTCTTCGTTTTTTTTTTTGTTGTTTTCGATTAAATCATTTTCATAGTCAAGTTAGAAAAAAAAAATACAAGACTGAAGGTTGATTCTTTCATCAATATTATGAGATCTCAAGGTTTTTTTGATGTGTTCTATCATAAAATAAAATGTAAAAAAGAAGCAGCTCAAATGACATGCATCATAGACAAGGCCATTGTTGTACATGACTACCTGACAGAATTTTCTTCGAAATAAAAACGAAAGAAAGTCATATATACACGCACAAATACTTCTATTCGTTTGTTTTTTTTTTCTTCTATATTCACTATATATTTTGACAAACAATTATTGGCAATAGATTATTAACTAATGAACGTCGAACATGGCAAAGGGTTTCTTTTTTTTTTCTCTTTCTACTCAACAATAACACGAAAATAAAATATAGCTTTTAATCTAACTCGACTAGAGACAAAGCGACAATTCATTTTAATATGCCTGCTAGTAAGCATTCGAGTACCACTGAGCAATGTTTGTGTAAGAAACCGAAAGAGCAGCACTGCAATTCGATGAAGGAGAAAGAAAGAAAAAGAAGAGAGAATCGGCACAATTTAAATGAATCGTGTATCGCCAACCACAGCCTCGGACGATATTTCAGTGATTGCTTGTTTGGCGTTCGACTGAGAGACGCAAAGAAAAAAAGTGAAATATAGATTCATTTTCATTATTGCGGTTGAGAGAAAAAAGTTTTGAACTTTGCCAAACACAACACACACACACACACAAGCATCATTTTCTCTTTTTCTTTTATTATTAAATTCCATAGAACAAAAAAGAAAGAGAGAGAGAGAGAAGGAGAGAGAGAAAAGTAATCAATCGTCAATAGGAATGTGGAAATTGAGAGAAGCCAATGAAGGAGATACGAAATCGTCTTCCTTCTACTCACTATAAAATAAATGTTGAATGGTTCCAATAACATTAGTTCTAATTCACTTTACATCCTTTTCTTTCTTCTCGTTCTTTTAATAAAGTCTGATAAGACGAGTGATTTTTATTACAACACGCCCTTATTTCATAGTAGTGCTTCTCAACAACGATGAGCAACGATTACTAGCTATTCTCCTACTTACATATTCATTCTTTTCACGCAAGAACTAGAAAAAAAAAAACTAAATGTCTATCATACTCGTACGATTGTTATAAATCCTCTCATTTCTCTTCCATCTACACACACATACACATATACATACATACGCATATTCATTTTTTGGTGTTAAATCATGGCTACACCATCATCATCACCAAAGAAGAAAATTATTGAAGTAGAAGCAAATACTACAACACCCCGTGGTGCAACAATTAGATTAACTGTAGAATATCGAAGTAAGATAAATTACATAATTGAGTGAATCTATTCATATTCTTATGCTAACTTATATATACATATAAAAATATATATATATAGGTTTCGATTGTATGATTTCTTTCGAATCAAAAAAAGTTAATTGATTTTATTTAGTTCGTCCACCGGCTTCAACTGAAACAGGTCCTATATATGAAGATGTATCAATGAAAAAAACTGTTGATGTTAATATGGGTACAAATGGTCAATACAAACAACAAGCAACATATAATTATGGAAGTGAAAAAGATTTAAGAACAAAACAACCAATTATTGAACGTACACCTATTGTTATACAAGCTCCTGTAATCTCAAATCCAATAGATAGAAAAGATGATAATATAATTGTACCTGAAACAATAGTTGAACATATAAGTGAAGATGAAAAATCAACATCAAGTGAAGAAGCTTTTTTTGAAGAATGGAGTGAAGAATTTCGTTGCCGTCGTACAGATGAATATGATCAAAATACAAATAAATTATTACGATCAATAATTGATGAAACAAGTGAACGTATTAAAAGTGATGTTATTAAAGAAGAATATAAAGAAAAAAATGTACGTATTAAACGACATAGAAGTTATGATGTTATTAGAGAAGTTAATCGAATTGTACCATCACCTACAATAATACCTATTAATCAAATACAAACTCGTCGTTATGAGGAGATTCGTCAACCTCCTCCTATTTCATCTTCCACATTACCAATATCGATGACGATGTCATCGTCATCACCATCATTACTACAAGATCGTCAATGGACAACTGAAGATACTTATACAGCTGAAATAGCATATGATTCAAATCTTGCAAAAAATATTGAATCACGTAAAGAAAAATTTGATTTATCATCAAAAAATTATGATCATGTACGTCCTAGTCGATATTCACCTATACCACCAACAACACAAGCTATGATAACAACAGTACCATCATCAAATTATGAACGTATATCAACTATTGTAACACCAACAACATTAAACTATCCAGATATACGAAAACAAGAATATGAAGATGTTGTTAGTGAAGAATATCATGTTGAAATTGAAACACCTAAAGTTCGAGAAGAAACATCAGAAGAAGATTTAACTGATAATTATATCACGACAAATCAAACATCACCAAGTCGACGAGATTCAGATTGGCGAAATAGACTTCGACAAATCTATGCTCCAACATCTGATGATGATCGATTTGATCAGGTAAATTAAAACAAACAAAAAAAAAATTTTATTTTTCTTTCTCATAATGAAGAAACTGTTGAAATTGTAATCCGCCGTTTGAGCCCACAAGGAAAATTATAAAAGTGTTCATCATCATCATAAGTCTTCGTACTGAAGTTTGATCTGAAATTTTTACACGAAAAGAATTGAGATATTGAATCATTTACAATTCTAAAGGTATTCTAAAGATCAATAGATCTTCTTGTATGTTCAAACGGTGGATTACATTTGAAGATAGTTTCCTCATTAGAATAATGTTCGAATGAGACGATACCATATACCCTATAGTATAAAGAGTACACCAGTGGAAATTACACTGCTCAACGTGTATCCGTTATTCCATCATATCCTCAACAACGTTATAAAGAAGTTCCAATTGATGTTCGTGAACGTAATAGAACATATTTTGATCAACGAAAATTTACATCAACACCTTCATCACAACATCCTACCAAAGAGATAGTCATATCTGTACCACGTAGATCACCATTTGGAAAAAAATATCATTATTCATCTACGGATGAATATGAGCAGAGAAAGAAAAGAGTACATTTTGTTGATGTAAGTCAAGAAAATGAGATATAATACTTGTGTTACAATGTGTGATATGACTTCTTTGATTTTATTTTTACATTGAATACTAATTGAGAATTTGTTTTCTTCTCTATTTAATTAATTTCTTTTTTGTGTTTTTGATTAATTGATCTACTCTTCTTATTTTTTTTTATTGTTGTTGTTTTAGTCTGGCGCACGAGAAAAAGTTATTTCAACATCATCTGTGGATGATGATGATGATCGTCAACAATCATTAAAATATAGATCTTCATCAACTCTTGATGAAAATCGAAAACAATATGAACCAATTATATCACGAACTGATCGACCAACATTTGGTCGTGTTGGTGAATTAAAAAATGCATTTGAAACAACTCGTAATGAATTTACTAAAGATGATAATACATCAAAATATCAAACTTCGATAACTACTGGTTTAACAGAACAACGACGAAAAATTTTTGAAGAACGTGAACCAACAAATAAAGATCATGCACGACGATCGGTAAGATATAAAAAAACGAGATGTTTATCGATTTGCTTGGGGTTTGAATTAATCCTATTGGTATTTGTGACGTTTGCTTACTTGCCTGATTTTCTTTCTCTCACTCTTTTCATACTAATCAATATGGGAGGAATAACAACAAAAAAACCGCAAAGTCAAACCACATTATTCATCATATAAATAGATAGTATAATAATAATAATTTTCAGATTTCCAAGAAGAATCTAGAAAAAGAAAACACCCTTCACATTGCACATTTACTTTTATAATTAATTAGATCAATGAATTTGATACAAATGAACGTCGTATGAGTGAAACTCATACATCACCATCTATTGTAACTGATCATTTATCTCATATTGATAGTATTGAATCAAAATCAACATCACGTATACAACCAAGTGATCGTCTTGGTAAAACAGAATTTGATGCTATTACATCGAAACTTGAATCTTCAATAGCTAAAACATTACCACAGACAACAATTGATATACAAATACGAAAAAAACAAGGAACATCATCAACAATTGATTCAGATTTAAATCGTTTATCACAAACAAATTATCAAACAACATTAAAATCAACTAAACAAAAACATATTGAAGATGCTGGTCATGAAAGTGAAGATGAATTAAGTGATCCAAAACAAAATTATGATACACGACGACATATATCAAAAGCACGTTTACGAGATTTTTCACAAAGTACATCACAACCAGTTGATACTAATTTAACTGTACAACGAACAACAACTAAATTTAATGAAAGAAATATGGAAAATATA